ACTTGTGCTTTATACAAGTACATATTAATGTACTTTTAATTAATATTCAGATTCAAAATCATTTAAATGAGATGTGGCATCATTCAGTTGACAAAGCTAAGAATGAACTTTAATAAAGACCCTGACCTCATTTTTATTGTTTGACTCTTAATTGGCTCCAGATACCTGCTCACCCTGCTTGGCCCACAAGGGGTAAACAAATTAGGAAAGGTGACCCATGCCCCTTTTATTTTTGTGTAAGTGGGCACGAGGGTCAAACTGTGAAGACCTGTAGCCTCTACCCCTATACACCTTAAAGGGCCAAGCCATTAACCTTTGCACAAGTCACCTCAACCCACTTACCCTTGCCCTACTCTCCTTAGTAAGTACCTTTGAGTAATAAACGTATTTCTATTACCTTGGTGCATGTGGTGACATTTTCAGTAGGGTATTAATCCTGCCCCCCAAAAGGGCAATGGTAAAATGGAAGGTAACCCATGGAAAATGTCTTTATTGATGCAGAGGTGACAGGAGAGGGAATTTTGAGAAGATGAGGATAAGACATCCAAATGCAGAGATCCCAGTGTGATAATGTTTTTGAATGCATTGATCACAAAGGAAACCACCCACGTGGTCACTTGCAGTACAGTCTGTGAAAATGGTATCATCTCACAAGAGAAAAATACAGAGCAACGCAAGTGAATGGATGGTTTCTGTTCTGATAAGTAAAGACCTTGGAGTCAACATTCTCATCTTTAGAACAAGAAAAAATGCTGAAGAAACTGAAAATCAACACCTCTTCATATATCCATGAGATATTTGAGGTTATATGGCAAACCAGTGCTCCAAAAACAAGTGATTGGTGGATATAGAGAATTACGTTACTGAGAAGAGAAGCCACTGGAGCCAGCATCCTCTGGGAACATATAAACTGTAATAGATAAATTGCTGGACACGATATGAACTAGCTTGAGCTCTAAGAGGAGGAAGTTAAGGGACCACTCCCCCACACACAAAGTTTGTGAATTTTTCTTGCAGGAGTCCAAATAGGTTCTCCTGAGAAGATTGGCAAAAATTGTCTCATGCAGGAATTGAAGGGAAGCATTTTGATATACTCACAAAGCGTTCCATTCTCTGTAACTTATGTGGTTCCTCAAAGGAAACTGATTTGCCAGTGCCTAATCTGATTGGAGAAAGAGCAGTCAGACAACTCCCTGACCCTTCAGGTTTCTTCTCCGACAAAAAGGAGGAATACATGCTAAGAGCCTGTTCTGAAGTTCATAGTCCAGGGATTCTGTCCCACCAAAACATTACAGATTTAATCCTAACATAAAAGAACCTTTTCCCACCCACATACCTTCCCACCATATCAACAAGGCTCCAGTAGAAAAACAGTGGATTTAAAACACAGATGCGGGCTTCCCTGGTGGCGCAGTGGTTGAGAGTCCGCCTGGCAATGCAGGGGACACGGGTTCGTACCCAGGTCTGGGAAGATCCCACGTGCCGCAGAGCGGCTGGGCCCATGAGCCATGGCCGCTGAGCCTGTGCGTCCGCAGCCTGTGCTCCACAACAGGAGAAGCCACAACAGTGAGAAGCCCGTGTACCGCAAAAACAAACAAACAAACAAACAAAATAAAACACAGATGCAAGACCCAGACTCTACTTACTAATGAGTTTCTAGAGATAACCAGACACAGCAGGGGAGAAAAACACAAGGACACTGGAGGATATTAAAGCCCCCAACCTACAGCTAGGGCAAACATTAAAATTCCTATTTAAGAAATGTCACACTGGGGTCTTCCCCGGTGGTGCAGTGGTTAAGAATTCACCTGCCGGTGCAGGGGACATGGGTTCGGGCCCTAGGCCGGGAAGATCCCACATGCCATGGAGCAACCAAGCCCGTGCTCCAGAACAAGAGAAGCCACCGCAATGAGAAGCCTGTGCACTGCAACAAAGAGTGGCCCCAGCTCGCTGCAACTAGAGAGGGCCTGCACGCAGCAATGACGACCCAACGCAGCCAAAAATAAATAAATTTATTTTAAAAAAAAGGGAATGTCACACTGAAGGCCTATTTACCTCAAATCTTGTGAAAATTGAGAAACGTGGAAATTAAATAACATGTGCTCCCTGGTTTCACTTCTTTGTTAAAATTGTTTTGGTTTCATTTTCCATAAACCATAAACATTTTGGTTTCACTTTGTTAAAATCGTTTTGGTTTCATTTTTCCATAAACCATATTCATCTTATTTTCCATAAACAGTATTCAAATTTCAAGTTCCCTGATCAGACATTATCCGAACCTTGGAATTTCAACCAGAAGATGGGTAAGTGTTGGATCTGAGCATTAAAGATAAGACATTTTATATGTACATCTGCATTTGAAGAGAAAATGTATATCTGCTTCAAATGTTATAAGCAGATAAGCTGCAAAAATAAAAGACTGAGGCACTTCCCTGGCAGTCCAGTGGTTAGGGGGAATGGGTTCGACCCCTGGTTGGGGAGCTAAGATCCCGCATGCCACACAGTGTGGCCAGAAAAAAAAAAAAGTAAAAGTAAATAAATAACTAAAAATGCAAGAAAAAACTTTAAAAAGCCTGGGACAAAATTCAAAATCATAAGAATAATTCAACTTACCTCTCAAACTGTAAAAACACCAATAGCAACATGCAGTTTTTTGGTCAAAACCGTATGTGGATGTTTCTTATAAATATTCTATTAGCTGTGTTTACAAATTACTGTATACTAACAAATGTTATCTTTATTTTTCACTTACTGGGAGCATATGTTGAAATATCCCCCTTCAATTATGGATTTCAAGATCCACTCTAATTTTCTTCATTTAATCATACATTCTGAGTCAACACTAGCATGTAACAAGTTCGGGAAATTTATTCTCAGGAAAATTTATTTTTGTTCTTATATAGTTTAAATTTTTGTGATTAACCTAACTTCTTATTCACTCATAATATCACAGACACGTTTCTGTCAGTACCCTCTTGCCAAAGAAAACCAGGACACACCTGTAGTCACAGAGGGTTATGTGTTGACTTGTAGTAATAGGCATGACCGCAAGCGATAAATGGCTGGGCTTACAGGTAAGAGGGTGCCTTGAGCACCCTTATAGCATTTGGACTAGTGTTAGTGATCTGATGTTTGATGAAGCAAGACGTTGCTCTCTATTGGATGCTGTGAGAAGGTAAATGTAATTCTGTGATTGGTGATCATAATCGCTGAGAATTTGGTCATCTTTGTTGTAGATACTATGTTCTCTTTTACCATTTTAGAGAAATGATTATAAAGTTTCCTTGATCTTGTATTATCAAGCATGGTCACGCAACAGCATTGTCTGATGGTGGAGGTTTGTGACTTTTTTCCCTTCAACAGAGTAAGACTTGGTTACACAGTCCAGTGCTGTTTTTCCTTTCTTACATATTATCTGAACATTTAGATGTTTCTTACTGTGTAGTTGACGCTTTTTAACTGTTTCCAAACAGTAGCTTAGTCATAATATACAAATTCACTCCTTAGCAGACTCCATAGTACTTTCATTATGTTTTGTGGAAGTAAATTTCTAGGCCCAATTTGGAGCTGCCACATCAAAACATAAACCAAGACTGAGATAACTTTCCTGTTCCTGTAAATGCACAACCTGACTGGAAATGCAGTACAGCCAGCCAGCCAATCTCTTAACTGTCAAGAATCTATAACGATTACTTTGTTCCACATAAGTTCAGATATGCAACCCCTGCCAATGAACTGAACACACAAACTCTTTCCTTATTCCCTGAATGCCTTCCTCTACAAAAGCTTGCAGCCCTGTTCCTTGGTTTGCAGTTCTCTGGACTCTTGAGAGTAGAGACCACCTGCTTCATGATGTATGAAATAAATTTGCTTAGATCAACTAAACTGTTCTCTTTGATTATTTTAACACATTTAGTCAACTGAGGTGTATGCGTTTAGATTAAATGTCAGACATACATGCTAGCAAGGGAAAAAGACTGACCACTATTCAAATCAGGCCTTTCTTGCTGAGGGACCTAGTGTTTTTTTTTTTTAAGGTATAGTTGATTTACAATGTTACATTAGTTTCAGGTATACAGTATCGTGATTTAGTATTTTTATAGTTTATATTCCATTAAAAGTTGTTACAAGATAATGTCTATAATTCCCTCTGCTATGTAATACATACTTTTTGCTTATCTATTTTATACATAGTAGTTTGTATCTCTCAATTCCATACCCCTAAATTGCCCCTCCCCCTCTCCTCCCCCTCTGGTAACCACTAGTTTGTTTTCCACATTTGTGAGTCTATTTCTGTTTTGCTATATATGTTCATTTGTATTATTTTTTAGATTCCACATGTAAGTGATATCATACAGTATATGTCTTTATCTGACTTATTTCACTAAGCATAATATTCTCTAGGTCCATCCATATTTCTGCAAATGGCAGAATTTCATTCTTTTTATGGCTGAGTAATATTCCATTTTATATATATATATATATATATAATCACATCTTTTTTATCCATACATCTGTTGATGGACACTTGGGTTGCTTCCATACTTTAAACAGTGCTACTGTAACACTGGGGTGCATGTATCTTTTCAAAATATTGTTTTCATCTTTTCTGGATATATACCCAGGAGTGGAATTGTTGGATCATATAGCAACTCTGTTTTTAATTTTTTGAGGAACCTCCATACTGTTTTCCATGATGGCTGCACCAATTTACATTCCCACCAACAGTGTACAAGGGTTCCCTTTTCTTTACATCCTATTTGTTATTTGTAGAATTTTTGACAATAGTCATTCTGACAGGTATGATGTGATATCTCATTTTGGTTTTGATTTGCATTTATCTAATAACTAGGGATACTGAGCATCTTTTCATGTGCCTGTTAGCCATCTGTATGTCTTTGGGAAAATGTCTGTTCAGGTCTTCTGCCCATTTTTTGATTGTGCTGTTTTTGTTGTTTTCTAAGAGTTCAGCTTTTTATTGAACATGTTACAAAAGAGGTTTAGTCAAAAAGACCAAAGCCCATGTCATCCTCATACTCCTCACGTTCTTTCTTTGCTTCCACTTTCTTCTCCTCAGCTGGGGCGGCAATGGTGGAGGGGGCAGGTCCACTAGCCCCTACATTGCAGATGAGGCTCACCATGTTGACATGGGTCAGAACCTGTGCAAACAAGCCTGGCCAGAAAGGTTCAACATTTACATCGGCTGCTTTAATGAGGGCATTGATCTTATCCTCCGTGATCGTCACCTCATTGTCATGTAGGATGAGGGCCAAGTAGGTGCAGGAGTAGGTGCAGGTGGGCTACAAGGCAGTAGAGGCCACAGTGCAAGTGAGTGCTAGGTGTGGTGCTGCCTGGTGTGATGCTAGTCGCTGGTCCCCAATGCGGACCTTAGCTTCCTCTGAAGGGCTGAGCCACCTTAGCGGTAGCTGAGGAAAGCAGGCTGTTTCTTTACGGGGTTTGTTTTTTTGTTTTTGGGGTCTTTTTTTAATTGAAGTATAGTTGATTTACAATGTTGTGTTAATTTCTGCTGAAATCACCAAAAGTCAAAAGTGATTCAGTTATACATATATATATTCTTTTTGATATTCTTTTCCATTATGGTTTATCATAGCATATTGAATATAGGTCCCCGTGCTATACAGTAGAACCTTGTTGTTTACCCATTCTATATATAATAGTTTGCATCTGCGAATCCCAAACTCCCAATCCATCCCTCCTCTACACCCCCATCCCCCTTGGCAACCACAGGTCTGTTCTCTATGTCTGTGAATTTGTTTCTATTTCATAGGTAAGTTCATTTGTGTCATATTTTAGATTCCACACATGAGTGATATCATATGGTATTTGTTTTTCTCTTTCTGACTTTCTTCACTTAGTATGATAATCTCTAGGTCCACCCATGTTGCTGCAAATGGCATTATTTCATTTTTTATGGCTGAGTAGTATTCCATTGTATATATGTACCACATATTCTTTATCCATTCATCTGTTGATGGATATGTAGGTTATTTCCATGTCATGGCTATTATAAGTAGTGCTTCTATGAACATTGGGGTATGTGTGTCATTTCAAATTAGAGTTTTCTCTGGATATATGCCCAGGAGTGGGATTGCTGAATCATATGGTAGCTCTCTTTTTAGTTTTTTAAGGAACCTCCATACTATTTTCCATAGTGGCTGCACCAACTTACATTCCCACCAACAGTGTAGGAGGGTTCCCTTTTCTCCACACCCTCTCCATCATTTGTTATTGTAGACTTTTTAATGATGGCCATTCTGACTGGTGTGAGGTGGTACCTCATTGTAGTTTTGATTTGCATTCTCTAATAATTACTAATGTTGAGCATCTTTTCATGTGCCTTTGGTCATCTGTATGTCTTCTTTGGAGAATTGTCTATTTAGTTCCTCTGCCCATTTTTTGGTTGGGTTGTTTGGGGTTTTTTGATACTGAGTTGTATGAGCTATCTATATATTTGGAATATTAACCTCTTTTTGGTCATATCATTTGCAAATATTTTCTTCCATTCAGTAGGTTTTCTTTTCATTTTGTTGGTGGTTTCCTTTCCTGTGCAAAAGCTTTTAAGTTTAATTAGGTCCCATTTGTTTATTTTTGTTTTTATTTCTTTTGCCTTGAGAGACAAATCCAAAAATATATATATCTACAACTTATGTCAGAGAGTGTTCTGCCTATGTTCTCTTCTAGGAGTTTCATGGTTTCAGATCTTAAATGTAGATCTTTAATCCATTTTGTGTTTATTTTTGTATATGGTGTGAGGAAATGTTCTAATCTCATTGTTTTACATGTAGCTGTCCAGTGCTGAGGGACCTAGTCTTTAATGTTAACTTTTGACAATCCCTCTTCTACCCAGCACTCTAGCGTCAAAACTTATGTAATTAAGCACAAAATTAATCAAGGCACTCTATGGTCTGGATATAGTAGCATGAAACAAGTTCTTACAATCTGGTGCTTTTAGGTTTGTGGGGAAAGAAATACTTTTAACAAACAATAAAATTTGGTTTATAAATCAGAAGTAAGATATTAAAAGATTCAGTATCCCCACATACAATATTCATTTTTAATATTTTGCCTCATCTCTTTTCCTATTTGAAAGTAACATACTCTGACTCCCATATAACATTTGACATTTGGCAACATCTTGTGAGGGTCTGTGTATATTTAAGGGTGAGGAAGGACCTGGTTTGCTCAGAAGCTTCTGTGGATGCTGGGATTTTGTCATTGCATTGTCTGTCTGCATGATACAGTCGGGGTTATCAGTAATTACAACTTGTTTAGATATTTTTGGTTAGGAGTAGAAAGTAAAAGGAGATAATAGCTTTTGCTACTTAAAAGAGGGAATTAGGGCTTCCCTGGTGGCACAGTGGTTGAGGGTCCACCTGCCAATGCAGGGGACACGGGTTCGTGCAGGGGACACGGGTTCCCCGGTCTGGGAAGATCCCACATGCTGCGGAGTGGCTAGGCCCATGGGCCATGGCTGCTGGGCCTGCGCATCCGCAGCCTGGGCTCCGCAACGGGAGAGGCCACAACAGTGAGAGGCCTGCGTACCGCAAAAAAAAAAAAGAGAGAGAGAGAGAGGGAATTAGAGCTTGCATTTGTGGGACTTACCTGGTGGTGCAGTGGTTAAGACTCTATGCTCCCAATGCACAGGGCTGGGGTTTGATCCCTGGTCAGAGAACTAGATCCCACATGCATGCCACAACTAAGAGTTTGCATACCACAACTAAAGAGCTGGCAAGCCGCAACAAGGGAGCCCGCCTGATGCAACTAAGACCTGATGCAACCTAATTAATTAATTTTTTAAAAAAGAAGTTACATTTGGAAGAGATTTATTGTTAAAACCAGTGATATTTTCTTTCTCCCATTTCAAGCCCTGGGCAAAAACCTTATGAAAACATGTGGATGGACTGTTATGGCCCCATTGAACATCTGACTCTGATGCAATATCATTAAAATGAATTTTTGGAGCCAGTTCAATTTGTCTTTAGCTTTATAGACATGGCCTTATTTGTATCTATTGCTCTCCCTTTCATGGAAGCATAATAAAGGAAAGAAAAAAACAGCGTCCAATCAGTCAGTCAATCAGAAATAAGAGCTTTGAAGGAAAGTTCACAATGAATGTAAGATAACAGGGGAACCAGAGGTGGGTTGTGTACTTCCTCTATGGAGGGTAGAGGCCTCCATGATTAAGGATGTCATCAGGAATTATTTATGTTTCCACCGTCTAATACAAATTAAATTATCACTGTTTCAGGAATTGCTCAGGTATGAATATAAATAGTAGGTGTGATACAGACAGCATCCAGCATTTGTGAGGGCAACAGTAATGATTCCTATTAAAATGAAGGTATATTCACACACATTAAGATGAGTAATATAAGAAAACACTAAAATAGAAAATAAGTGTTGGAAAGAATGTGGAGAAATTAGAACCCTTGTGCACTGTTGGCAGGAATATAAAAATGGTACAGTCAGTATGGAAAAAGATAAGTAGTTCCTCAAAAAATTAAAAACAGAATCACCATATAATCTAGCAATTCCACTTCTGGGTATACACCCCAAACAGTTGAAAGCAGAATCTCTAAGATATACTTGTAAACCTATCTTTTTAGCATCATTTATTCACACTAGGCAAATGGTGGAAGCAATCCAAATGTACATAGACTGATGAATGGATGATCAAAGGTAGTATATACATACAATGGGATATTATCCAACATAAGCTACAACATGGATAAAGCTTGAGGACATTATTTTAAGTGAAGTAAGCCATTCATATGAAGACAAATACTGTATGATACCACTTATATGAGGTACCTAGAGAAGTCAAATGCATAGAGATTGAGAGTAGAATAGTGGTTTGCAGGGGAGTGAGCAGAATGGAGGGGGTAGTTTTTTACTGGACATAGAATTTCAATCTTGGAAGATGAAAAGAGTTCTGGAGATCGGTAGTGATAGTCGTACAGCAGTATAAATGTAAATGCCAATAAACTATACACTTGAAAATGGTTAAGATGGTAAATTTTATGTTATGTGTATTTTACCACAATAATAAAACATGTGGAAAAGCCACAGGACTGCACAGACCCCATTGGACCCTAAAATGCCACAAAGCCCTAAGCCTCTTTCCTCCTTGTTTACAGCACTAAAAAATCTGTTCATTTTCCTGTGTTCATAAAGGACCTTTTCCAAAGCAGTGCCTTTGACTCCAAGGCTGTCTCTAGACTTGGTCCCCAGGCTTGGCTTACCTACCTCCTCACCTCTTCTCTCCAGACCTTGCAACCCCACTCACTGGCCTAAGCCTCAGGGACTATGTGAAGCCTGTCCTATTGTTTGTTTAGGAAAAATTTATTTTAAAAAGTTAAATACTACATTCAACATATTCAACCTAATGGAAAAGAAATCAATAAAGAAGCAAAGTTGGGACTGAAAAAGTCATGAGAACTGTTGGGGGAAAAAAGGTAAAATGCAGGTGTAATATAAATACTCATATAATAGGTAAGATAATCCAATCAAGAGTCAGAAATTATCACCGTATGTTTAAGACAAAAAAAAAAAAAAAAGAGGCAACTATATGCTCTCCATAGGAAATGCTTTTAAATTCAAAGATGCAAAAAGATTGAGAGTAAAAGGATCAGGAAAAGATATATATGTAAATACACCCACCAGAAAGCTGGAGAGACTCTCCTAATACCAGGAGGGAAAAAGACTTTAAAAGAAAAAATATTACTAGAGATATAGAAGGCTGTATCATGAAAAAGGTCGTTTCATCAGGAAGCTATAACATTTATATGTGCATTTAATAACAGAGTGCCAAAATAAATGAAGCAAAAGAGAAATGAAGGGAAAAACAACAGTAAATGGAGACTCCAGTATCTCACTTTGAATATTATATACACAACTAGGCAAAATATCAACACAGAAATAAAAGACTTGTAAAACACTATAAATTAAGTACACCTTATGTGTCTACAGAACACTGCACCCAACAACAACAGAATATATATTCTTCAGAAGTGCATATGAAACCTCCAGGGTAGAACAAATGCTAGGACATAAACTTCACTAAATTTAAAATACTAAGAATAAGTACTTTTATGGTCTGTGACAACAATGGAATGAAATTAGAAATCAATAACTGAGGAAAAACTGGAGAAATTCACAAATATGAAAAAAATACTCGTAAATAACCAATGTGTCAAAGAAGAAATCCATACAGAAGTGAGGAAAGGTCTCAAACCAATAATCTCACCTTCCACCTTATCACACTTGAAAGGATGGGCAC